TGGACTGATGGATATCTAAAGTCTTTGAGATGACTCTGTGACCCTTTTCAGCTACATGCAAATCAACAGCTCCCAATTGTAGCTCTTCTGAGATCTCTTTTTTTGTGAGGCCTGGCTCAGATCAGTTGATACTGCTTCTGAACAGCACACTGACACTGAGTGTTTTTATAAGTCAAGGTCATTCTAAACTATGCTGCCATTCTTGTTTCATTGACTGGACTCCAGGTTTGCTAACACCTGACTCCATTTGACTTTTAGTGACATCAGAAGCTGCGTGTTACCATGACTTTTTCCACCATCACTTTGTATGTTTAATGGATGTGTTCAATGAAGCCATGAAAGAGCAGGACTGTTTGTGCTTTATCAGCTTAGAAATATTGTGTTTATTGATATTTGTGACTTTGGTGAAAATTAGATCACATTTTATGACCAGTTTACACAGAAAACCAGGAAATTGCAGTGCTATTACTTCTTCTTGCAACTGTATCTCATTATTTAGACTTAGAAATAGCTCAAGGTTTTGGATCCATGCTGTATTATGGAACTTTGAAGGCTGTATGAGGACTCACATAGCCTGAAACCACCTGGCATGGCCCCTCAGGCTGCCTCAGAGAGACACGGAGAAACAGCACTTCATCTGTCAGGGCCCTGAGGCTCAAAACAACCTGCCTGAGAACAGTTACTTAAACATTGTTAGAATCACCGTATAAAATGGAGTCTTAGTCTGTTTTTTTTTTCTTTCTGGTTTTGTATTTATTGGACAGTATTAAAAGTCCCCTAATACAATTAATAGACCTACAACAAATTGTGAGGTTTACATGCTTTTGTTGAGACTGTGTCAAGTCAACAATCCTTTAGCATGGCTCTGGTGTCGGCCTGTTGGCCCACCACCAAAATATTTCAAAAACTACTATTGCCACTAACTTTTGTTTAGACATTCATACTCCCAAGAGGATGGCATCTACTTACTTTGAGGAGCCCCTGACTGGGTCTGTAGTGCCAGCCATCATTTCATCAGCATTTGAGTTTATTCAGTACTTTATAACCAATTAATTGCAGAACTACTGACAGTAGCTGTTCTTTGTGTTTAGTGCTACTGTAACTAGCAAATGTTAACATGCTAAGATTGAACTAAGATTAACAACGTTATACCTGCAAACCTCAGCATGTTTGCATTTTCACTGTAAAAAAGTTTGCATGCTGACCTTTAATTCAAAGCACCACAGTGTCACTAGCTTTGTTGTAAATGCATGTTATTCTGTTTTTGGCTATCCTTGTTTTCCCACAATTAGGAGGACCGGTTGTCTCTTCACTACAGTTCTTGTCTGCTAACACCCCTTTCTGTTTGTTTGTTGGTTGTTTCTAAACAGTGAAGAGTTTGAACACAAAGGTGAACAGGCAGGAGGTTCAAACAAGTACAATCCTTCACTGGCTTCCCATTGGAAACATAACTTTTGACTGGATTTCAGGACCGAGCTGGAGGTACTGCTACTGCTGTTGCTATATTGGATCCCATCTAATTGTACCATATTCCTATCATTCTGAGAGCCACAGGTTTGTCCAGCCAGCTGTGCAAAACAAAATTATTCATTTTGCAACAATATAAAACAAAGAAAAGGAGCAAAACGTCACATCACGTCACATAAAAGCAGACACCACCATTTGACATTTATGATTGATAAATGACTGAAACAGTATCAAAGTCTGTCAGTTGATCAACCATTTGTTTTAACACTGATTCTTTTGCACCTACCCCTCATAATGAACAGTGTACTGTACAGTTAACAGCATGTGTTTAAAAGGCTCAGACTTGACGCATATGAAAATAATACAAGTGGGGCTCTTCTGTTTTTTCGATGTCCCCTAAAACCTCATACTATTTGTTAGTGAAATAGGTGACAGACTATTGTAAAAGTTATTGGCTCTCTGGAATAAGAAAAATCTTTGCAAAAATCTATTATGCCATATCAATACACCCTCTTATAATATCTTGCACAGTTATTCACATTCACAGTCCCTCCAACCTGTTCACACACTATTGAATTAACTGAAAGTCAAATGGGGCATTTGTGAATAGAATGAATTCAGCATGAGGCACCTGCACGGCAGAGAATTAAAATAATTCAATTATCAATAGCTTTCTTTAATATGAGTTGTGTGGCATAAAGCATGACTGTGATATTGATCCACAATGCTGAACGTTCCCTGCCACTGCTCACACTTGCAGAGTAAGGGTGTGTGGAGATTGGATTGTAATCTTTGTGTGGCATGAGCTAATGAGATTTCAGAAACAGAAAATTAAGGCTTTTATTCGAGAATGATTTGTTTCTATTTTGGGTATCACTCAAAATGATTAGAATTTGTAACCCCTTGGGTGACACCCATAGAAAAGCAAAACTATTTTTGGATGCACAAAGGTTTCAAGAGAACTTCTAACTTTTGTTTTTCTTACTTGTCGGAATCATTTGACAGCAGTTGTCATTGTTTCCAAAGTATGCATATCTAATTAGTGCTCAGATGTGTTCCCTACATCCCAGCCGATTGTCTTCGCTACTTACAGCTGCTTGTAGCTATAACAAACTTGCTTCCTCCTCCTTTGAGCATATATTGTGTGAGAGGTTTGTTGTTAACAAATGTGTAGTTCTGTTTTTACATAATGATGACAATCAACCAAGGATGGCATCTCTATTAGTATTCTGACAAAACAAGAAAATGAAATATTGAGAAGTGAAGAGGTTTCAGTATAGATGTAGTTTGTCTCTTGTATAATAATCCAAAAAGCGCAAACTGTGCATTTCTCCTCTGTGGGATCAGCTTGCATTTAAAATTCTGATCCGCTTAAGCTCCTTTGCCCTTGCCAAATAAAAT